AACACACCATTGGCTCAACTAACCAAAACAGAGAGAGAAGACCCAGATCAATAAAATCAGAGATGAAAACGGAAACATAACAATACCACAGAGATAAAAAGAATCATCTGGATACCATAAGGAGCTGTATGCAAACAAATCAGGAAACGGAGAAGAAATGGACAGATTCCTGGACACATTCAACCTATCTAAATTGAGACATGAAGACACAGAAAACCTAAACAGACCAATAAACAAAATGGAGATTGAATCAGTAATAAAAATCCTTCCAACAAAGAAAAGCCTAGGTCCTGATGGCTTTACTGCTGAATTTTACCAGACATTTAAAGAAGAACTAATTCCAATCCTTCTCAAGCTATTCAAAACAATTGAAATGGAGGGAATCCTCCCAAGCTCTTACTATGAAGCTTGCATCAACTTAATTCCTAAGCCAGAAAAAGATACCACAGAGAAAGAGAACCATAGACCAATATCCCTGATGAAAACAGAAGCAAAAATCCTCAGCAAAATACTAGCCAATTGAATCCAACAACAAATCAGAAAGATCATTCACCCAGACCAAATGGGACTTATCCCTGGTATGCAGGGATGGTTCAACATCAGAAAATCAATGTGATACATCACATTAACAAACTGCAGAACAAAAGCCATATAATTATTTCAATAAATACAGAGAATGCATTTGACAAAACACAATACCCTTTCGTGACAAAAACTCTAAAAAAATTGGGTATAGAAGGAACATTCCCCAACACAATCAAGGTAATTTATGACAAACCCACAGCCAGTGTCCTATTGAATGGGGAAAAGTTGGAAGCATTTCCACCAATATCTGGAACCAGACAAGGAGGCCTTCTATCAACATTGCTATTCCATATAGTCCTGGAAGTTTTAGCCAGAGACATTAGGTGAGAAAAATAAATCAAAAGGATACAAATTGGGAAAGAGGAAGTCAAACAACCCCCTTTTGTAGATGACATGATTCTATATATAAGAGGTGCAAAGATTCCACCAAGAGACTATTGGAACTCATAGAAGAATTTGGTAAAGTAGCAGGGTATAAAATCAGTACACAAAAATCAACAGCCTTTGTATACACAGACAATGCCACGGCTGAGAAATAACTTCTATGACCAAGCCTATTCACAACAGCTACATAAAAAAAACAAATACCTTGAAAAAAATTATCTCTATGATCTTTGACATTAATGAAAACATTAAGGAAAAAACATTAAGGAAAGAAATAGAAGATACCAAAAAATGGAAAAAATCTTCCATGTTCATGGATTGGAAGAATCAATATCATCAAAATGTCCCTAATTCCAAAAGCAATTTACAGATTCAATGAGATACCAATCGAAATACCAAAGGCATTCTTCTCAGATCTAGAAAAGATGATGCTGAAATTCCTATGGAAACACAAAAGACCTCAAATAGCTAAAGCAATCTTATACAACAAAAACCAAGCTGGAGGCATCACAATATCAGATTTCAAGACATACTACAAGGCAGTTATAATCAAAACAGACTGGTACTGGTACAGACAGATAGACCAATGGAACAGAATAGAAATGCCAGAAATCAATCCAAGCATCTATAACTAACTTGTATTTGACCAAGGAGCTAAAACCAATTCCTGTTGCAAAGACAGTCTCTTTTGACAAATGGTGCTAGGAAAACTGGATCTCTACACAAAAATCCATTCAAAATGGATTAAAGAATTAAATCTATGACCATCAAATTATATTATACACCAAATTATTTTATTATTATATATTATATATTAATATATTATATACCATTAAATTATTAGAAAACACTGGGGAAACCCTGCAAAATATTGGCACAAAGAGTTCCTGGGAAAGACCCCAGAGACACAGGCAATCAAAGCCAGTATTAACAAATGGGATTACATCAAATTGAGAAGCTTCTGTACTGCAACAGAAACACTCAGCAAAGTAGGAGGCAACTGACAGAATGGGAGAAAATATTTGTAAACTATGGAACTGATAAAGGATTAATAACCAGAATATATAAAGAGAGCAAGAAACTTAACAACAGCAAAACTAGCAACCCAGTTTAAAAATGGGCAAAGGACTTAAGCAGACATTCTTCAAAAGAGGAAATCCAAATGGCCCACAGACACAAGAAGAAATGTTCAGGATCACTGGCCATCAGAGAAATGCAAATCACAACCACAATGAGGTTTCATCTCAACCCTGTTAGAATGGCTTTCATACAAAAATCAACACACAACAAATGCTGGCAAAGATGTGGGGGAAAAGGTACCCTAATGCACTGTTGGTGGGAACGTAAACTGGTAAAAATATGACAGAAGACTGTTTGGCGATACCTCAGAAATCTGAATATAGACCTACTGTATGACCCAGCCATCCCACTCTGGAGAATTTACCCAAGGGAATTGAAATCAGCAAATAAAAGAGCTTTTAGCATCCCCACGTTTATTGCAACTCGATTCACAATAGCTAAGACATGCAATCAACCTAAATGCCTGTCAATCAAAGACTGGATAAAGAATTTATGGGATATGTACTCTACAGAATAATACACAGCAGTAAAAAAAAAGATGAAATTCAGTCATTTGCAACAAAATGGATGAATCTGAAAGCTCTGCCGTGGGATTGCTTCCTCTCCCATTTTCCTCCCCCTCTCCACCCCTCCTGTGGGGGCTCTTCCCTCTGCCTGCCTTCCCAAGGCCCACATCCGTCCTTGGTCCCATCCCATCACGGGTGCATTCTGGGCCAGCGTCAGAGCTTCAGCAGGTATCTAAGCCAGCTCGAGTCTTGAAGCTGAATTTCTGCTCCTGTCTTCACCAGCCCCAGGACGCGCTCCCTGTGGCATGCCAGCTGGGTTTCTCCGCTAGAGCGTCTGTGATGCCTGACTCATGAGCGTCCCCAGTGCTTGGCTGCCCCTGACTGGCACCACTGTCACCCAACAGCAGACAAAGCCTGGAATCCAAGCTGTTCTGAGCTGCTTGCCTGGGAGTCCACCCCTTCCAGCACCTCCCCCACAGCTCCCCAGAATGGCTTGACTCCACCCATCTCCCTGCAGCCCCTCCCACATTCCCAGAGCTCCGGTGGCTGCTAGCTTGTCTGCCTAATAGCTCTCCCACTCCAGGCCTGACCTATTCCAACCTGACCAGCCCAGCAGCCGGACCCCAGCATGGCCCTTGCAAATGCATGCACAGCCTCCCAAATGCTTCAGCATGCCAGAGCCTCCATGCCATGTGGTACAACAGTGGACAGCCATTGCAGACCCAGCCGGTGCGAACCGAGAGGTGCTGCAGTGTCAGATGCACACCGGATTCCCAGGCATGGCATGGCCAGAGGACTTATCTTGAAAACAGCCTATTCCTGGTTCTATACACTGATCGCGGGCTGAAGTGCTAATGTTCTTGGACAGATATGGTTAAATAAAATACAGCTTAAAATGAGCTTCACTGGGTGTTTTCAAAACCTTTTTTTCTCAGCATAATTGCTGGAAAAGTTGAACTTGAGGGGCTCCTATTCTATTTCCACTGCACAGCCAAGGCATCAGAAGTCCTGCACCAGCAGCTCCTGCTGCCTTTCAACCACGTCTCCTCACTGCCTTCCCCATTGCTCTCCTCTCCCGGGTCCTCTGGTCTTCTCTGCAGGTTCCTGAGCAGCCCACTTGCTTTCTGGTCTTTGTACAAGGGCTGCCCCCTGCCCCAGAATATCCTGCGATTACCTCTACTCCTGCTGTCCTGTGCAGGCGCTGGGAGCGATTTCTGGAATACAGACATTTGATCATCCCCACCGCCTTGCATGCCCTCACTCCAGGGGACCCCTGTCTGGGCCCTGCATGTCCTGACTCTCCACCTGGATTACAAAGCCCCTGTATCTTAGTCTTTATTCGGTCCCCCATCACAGCGACCAGTACAAATTCAGTAGGAACAGCTAAGCAGAAATGTGGTCACTAGGGGCACAGCCGAGGAAGGTGACTAACACAAAGGGGCCTCACACACAGCCTTAGGGAAAGTGTTGTCCACCAAAAGAAATATAAACACCATGGTGTGGTGTTCTAACTTTGGGTTCCAAATGGCAAAACCTTTCTAAAAGGCCATCTGACAGATTCAGCAACTCGAAGATGGCTGCATCCAATGACTGGGCAATTCCATGCCCTTGGATTTGAATGACCAAAACCTGCAGCCATGAGGGCACACACAAATATAAGGATATGCACACAGAAGCATGGCTCGTGATAACAAGACACTGGAAAAAGCAACATCTTTCCGTGGATGCTGTCAATGGTACACATCCCTTCAATGGAACAGCAGGGAGATATGCAGTAGAAGGACCTCCCCCGTAGGAGGAAAGTACAGGAAGAGTGTTCCACACCTTTGCCTATTGCAGATATACGCATCTGCATACACACCTACAGACTCTGGCTGAAACACGACAGCAGGTGCATAAACAAGGTGACAGCAGTTCTTGAAAGGGGGTGGGGAGAAGACGCGGTGAGAGGAAGACAAATTTCTTTAAAAAAATTAATTAATTCATTTCATTTTATTTGAAAGGCAGAGAGACAGAGTACAGTCCCATCTCTGCTGGTTCATGCCCACAGCAGCCAGGGCTGGGCCAGGCCGAAGCCAGGAGCCCAAGACTCCATCGTGAACCCGAGTAATTGAGCCGTCACTTGCTGCCTCCCGAGGTGCACATTAGCAGGAAGCTGGATCAGAAGCAGCGCAGCCCAGACTGGAGCCAGCACTGTGATATTATGGGATGCGGGCATCTCCAGGGGTGATTTCCCAGGTGCGCCAAAGGCCTGGCCCTAGTTTCATTTCATGTGCCCTTGGAACTTGCTGCTCAAGGGCACAAATCACTCTCTTCCTACCAAAAATGTCAATGAGGATGAGCTAAGTGTTCTTTCCTTTATTTACTTCTATGTGGCCACCAGGGATTCTCCCGTGCCCAGATGAACACACGGTCCAGCGACAGCATGGACATCATGTCTCCTACCGTGATTTTTTTGTGGTCAGGAAACTCCAGGCCAAAGTAGTCGCCTTCTACGAGGTTGAGGTGGTTGCACACTGCGTCCAGCAGCACCTTCCCCGGGGCTCTTTGCTGTGAACAGAAGCGACAGGAGTTAAGCCCTCTGGGACACAGCGACCGAGACAAACCACAGCCCCCGCCACAGGAAACCTCTGGCTCTGGCCCTGTGGGTCCTTCACAGCCGGTTGCCGTCCATCTCCAGGACCCCCTGAGCACCCGCCCACCCACCCCATGGCGGCCTCTGCTGCTGGCCCTACTGCAGACGCAAGTCTCTGCCATTTTCCCCTCCCAATCCCTGGCAAGCGCCCCACCACCACCTTGGAAGTAACGGAACTTGGCTTTTAGAGCCTTTGTGATGATAGGGAATGGAGCAAGCACAGAAGGCTCCCACACCCCTTAGACACAGCTGCCTCGTTCCCAACACCCTTGGTACCGAGGCCTCTGTGATAACCACTGGGCCAGCGCTGACAAGGTAGAAACACCCAAGTCTGTTGTTTTTATTGGGGTTCTCCCAGGAGCCGTACAGTTCCAGGGGGGCTGACGGGTGTAGGGAGACACGGCCCTCTCCATCGCTACCGTGTCACGCAGGATGGTGGCACTGATCAAACTACCTTGCCTGTCCTAGGTCTCTGTGCACACCCCTTTCCCATCCCCTCCTCCCTGGGGATCCCTGTCACCCCCCGACACTATCTGTCTCTACAGCTCCCCCCTTCCAGAGTGTCACCTAGCAGGAATCCCAGGGAGCAGAGCCCCCGCAGGCTGGCTCCTCTCCCAGCCTGCATCCACCGTTCCTCTGTGTCTCGTAGGGGCCGGAGAGCTCAGGTCTTTGCTTTGCTGGATTAGAGGACTCTGCCGGCATGTGCCAGTTTGTACATCTGCTCACCTACTTAGGTATTGCCCTCACTTGGAAGCAACCAAGATGTCCCGAACAAAAGCTGCCGCGAACATTTGCATCGGAGTTTCGTGCGGACACGATTTCTCAACTCATGACCCCAGGCCTTTCCTGGGAAGGCTGAAACCCTGCGCGCTGGCTTCTCACTGAGAGCTTTCTGCTCACGGTTCCTGCGGCACCTGGGGTGGACTCTGCTTTGGCTCACACCCACCCCAGGTCCGCAAATCTAAAGACAAGCCCGTTTCACTCAAGTGCAAGGACGAACAAGTGGATCAAAGTTCCCTACTCTGCTCCATTGGACACAGCTGAGTAGCCGTGGTTGCTCTCAATTTAGCTGGGGGCTCCTCGCTCACCTTGATGCTCCTGTGGGCTGACAAAGCACTGGGCCCTCACTCAGAGTCTGCTGCAACCAACAAGGCTCACGCACTTGCTCTACTGCAGCTGAGAACACAATGTGCACCCTGCAGAGCCCAGAACTGCCTGCCTTGGTCTCTACTGCCTGCTGGCTGACTGCTGAGACGCCAGAGAAGTGGATCCTGCTGCACCACCTAGATCTAAGACACGGCCTTCTCCAGTCACTGATTCTAGACGTTCACCTCCCCTCTGATAAGAGCAGAGCATGCTGGGAACCAGTGGGTGGCCCAGGAGACAGGCTGCCAGGGAGAGCCGGAGCCTGACCAAGCTCCACGATGGACCTGTCCACAGCCGTCCAGCACGGCCACAGCAGCCCCCACAGACGCTTTAGCAGTCGTGAGGAAGAAGCACCTTTTCTTCTTTAACAGACGCCACTAGGTAGCCCCCCGCTCCCCAACTCACTGTTTCTAGAGCCAGCGACCCAGACGTGAGCAATGGTCGCCACCGATCAGGTCGGCCTCATCTGGCTCTCGGCTTTGGACATCTGCTCCAAGGCTCACATGAGACCTTGTGGAAGCCCCACTGTCCCCTTCACACAGCCCCCACCCCTGCGCCCTCATCCAAGGGGAAGGGACCTAAGAGGTCAGCAGCAATGGCTGGTTACCGATCCTTTCTGTAGCACTATTTGCCCTGTTTCCAATACATGGTGTGTGCGAATGGGGACACCCCCAGTGGGGCTACCCAGGGGGACAATGAGCTGATCCACACCAGACCCCGGTCCTGAGATCCAGGTCTCACACCAGCCTCCAAAGAACCACACGTCTAACCAACTCACAGCTACTTATTCTGGGGTCTCCAGTGGAATCTCTGGGTGTTAACAGGAACTTTATAGAATCGGGTCAAGAGATAAGAAGTGGTGGAAGAATTCCCGTGGCGCAGGTTTTCAGTTGCCTGAGCCTTCTCTCTCACAGCTCTCGACACTGCCTGCTTGCTACGAAGGCGAACCCCCAATTATCTGTCCAGCTGACAGGCACCCAGGTTTCCCAAAGAATTCCTGGAACTAAGGGGCTTGGATGACCTCATCCAGATATACAGAGCCTGGGAAATGAGACTTCACAAGTCACCCCGGAAATCTAAACAAGTGGAAAACCCCAACACTCGACGGATGTCTTTATGGCCAGGGTGTTAAATTCAGAGCTTTGGAGGAGAGGATGGGGGAGGCCACATGGAGACCAGGTCCTTTAGCGAATGAGCAGGGATTTTTGCGGACCTCCTGAGCACAATTGGGCAGAGAATGATGCCATGCTGGGGGTTAGGGCCCCTGGTCTCACCTCGCATGGCAAACACTGCCGTGCCTTTCTGAAGACAAGCTTGGCAACCACGAACTCCCTAAGCAGTGCTGGCCTGGGGGAAAATAAATGCCTGCAATCTAGCTCTTAAATTAGAAATCTCCTTAAAATGTACGACTTTGTACAAGCGTTTACAGAAAATGACTTTTCTACGGTACTGAAAATTTGATAGGGCAATGCCAGCTCAGTGTTGAATGACAACTTTATGGCTCCTAAAACTCACCCATAAAACACGCACCTGTCAAGCAGACCATGAAGTCCCCCGTGGGCACTGCCCACATTCCGAGATGCAAGGAAACCCGGGGAACTGCATCACTACAAAGTATTCCCGAGGACTTAAAAGCGCTCATTATACGACAATTTCACGGGTGCATGTCACTCTAATGGGCTCCGCCGTCTCTGTGTAACATCCCAACGAGTCCCCAGCAGCCACTGCTTAAAATGCTTGTGCACAGGGCGAAAGCCTTTTAGGAAATGTGTAAAACCATCTGGGTGTCACACGCATCCAGGGCTAAATCCTGCTTCACGGAAAACATCTCAGGGAAGGGAAGGCAGCGGAAAATTTTCCTCCTCCTCTTTTTTTTTTTTTTTTTCGACAGGCAGAGTTAGAGAGAGATAGACAGAAAGAAAGGTCTTCCTTTTGCCGTTGGTTCACCCCCCAATGGCTGCTACGGCTGGCACATCGCGCTGATCCGAAGGCAGGAGCCAGGTGCTTCTCCTGGTCTCCCATGCGGGTGCAGGGCCCAAGCACCTGGGCCATCCTCCACTTCCTTCCGGGGCCACAGCAGAGAACTGGACTGGAAGAGGAGCAACTGGGACAGAACCGGCACCCCAACTGGGACTAGAACCCGGGGTGCTGGTGCCGCAGGCGGAGGATTAGCCTAGTGAGCCAGGGTGCCGGCTTTCCTCCTCATTCTTTAAAGGAAATCGCTCTTCCTCTTTCACCAACAGTAGACTTACTCCCTCACCTGCAAGTCTCTAATGAGGTTGTGAATTTCACTCTGAAAGTAACTGTTCCAAATCACATTGGGACTGTAACATGGGGCAGCCACCATGGAAAACTGCATGGTAGGAGGTCTTAAAAAATATAAAAAACCTAGAACTAGAATCATCATAGGATCCAGCAATTGTACTCCAGGGTGTGCACCCACAAGAACTGAAAAGCAGGATCTCGACATTCTGCAGGTTCATGTTCATAGCAGCGTCAATCACAATTGGGAAGAGCTGGCAAAACCCACACGTCCACCCATGATGGGATAAACCAAACGCAGTCAGCCCACGCAAGGGAATATCACTCAGCCCTAAAAAGGGAGAGAATTCTCATGCATGCTGCATCGCGGATGAACCTTAGGGACCTTATGCAAAGCGGAACCAGCCAAGTGCAAGGGGACAAATAACGGAGGATTCCACTTCAATAAGGAATCTGGAGAAGTCCTATCCATGTGGATAGAAAGTAGCAGGGAGAGTGCGAGGTGCTGGGGGTGGGGGGATGGGAAGCCGGCGGTTAATGGGGATAGAGCTTCAGTTTTGCAAGAGAGGGGTTCTGCAGACAGAGGTGGTGATGGTGGCTGTGGACATACTGAACGCCAGTGTGCTGCACGTTAGGACACGGCCAAAACGATGACTTTGGGTTGCACTCATTTGACTATAATAAAAAAATCGCAGATGCAAAAGGGAGAAGTAACTGAGGACTGGGGCTGGGTACTGCAGCAGCTGACTCAACGATACAACCTGCGACCACCGCTTTCGAGAACAAGAAAATCAAGAACGTGTATTTTGAACCTTGGAAAATATCAAGGGAGTAGGATCTGATCACATGGGAAGAATGAGTGACTATCCAGGGCCATGCACTAAATATTCACTACAATTTCCCAGCACAAAGAGCTCTTTTATTTGTGTTGTTCCCCCCTCCCCCACAAAAGAAGGCATACGATGACACCCTGGAAGTCACCACAACTTAAGCATCTGGGGCCGATTCAGCACGGGACGCCAACGATCGGGTTCAAAAGCTGCAAATCCACCAGCCCTTTAGAGAGAAAAGCAACCAACCAACCAGCCAACAACCTGACCCTGTAAACAAGCCATAAAGTCTGAGTAAGGAAGACAGGAGCCACGCCACTCCTTAAGTCAGCAGAACGCAGAGACCCCGAGGACATCCACTTACCAGAGCATCTCCTCAAAGAGCAACAAACTTCACCACTCAAGTGTGTGCACGGTCACACACACACACACACACACACGCATTCATATGGTCACACACACACACAGGTGCACAGTCATACATGCACTCATACACATTCTCCCTCACACACACACATGCATGGTCCCACACACAGGACCATGTTCAAACACACATGCACATACACATTCTCACATGCATGGTCAAGAATACATGCATGGTCACTCACACATGCACATGCATGGCCACACACCTGCACATGCATGGTCACACACATGCCTCATCATAAACACACATA